TGGTCAATAACCAAATCAAATGTTTTATGTTCAAAATATTTTTCAATTCAATATTTCAATTTTCTCCATGTATGGCTGAACTCAAAGGAACAATTTGAGATGGATTATTTATTTATTCTTTTCACCTACAAATAACTTATTTGATGGGAAATGTAGTTTACCTAATTAATTCCCTGTGTCTGCCTGTCTGTCTCCAGGAGTTAGTCTGTCTGATTGGACTCCGTCGGGCCACCAGGCCCCCCCCCTCACCATGAACCCTATGAACCAGATGAAGGCGGGACTGGCCAACAACCCACACAGGTAGACAAATGGGCACAAACATATTATTACAATATGAGGTTGTTTGAAAATCAATAATCCAGTAGAAGGCTTTGTTTATAATATTGATTTAGAAAAAGTGACCACATAAAAATAAATTGCTCTAACCTTTTATGGTTTTATACATCACCTAATGTGTGGAGCTTTAAAGAAGACATATTCTACTGATGTTCAGCTTCACATCAGTATGTAGTGTCTCTCCTGTGACATGTCTCCATGCTTTAATGTTCAAAAAGCTCTTTATTTTCCTCATTCTGCCTGTGCTGCAGCACCTCTTTTCACCCTCTGTCTGAAACCAGAGCCCAGTCTGCTCTGATTGGTTAGCTGGCCGGCTCTGTTGTGAATGGTAAACCGCTTAGAGATGTTTCGCCCCTTACAATCACGTACAATGTGTTGGAGCGCTAGCCAATAGAAGTGCAAGTGTTACCTGGTGATGTCAATATGTTGCAATAAGCATTTCACAAAATTAGACATTATTTCCTCAGTCGTCATTTTAAAGCGCACAGCTGCACCAGCTTCCATTGTGTGGTTGTTGCATACGTAGCCTAAAGTGTTCTTAATAATATAAAAAAATTAATCATATGGATTTTTTTTACTTATAATGCAATTGCAATACGATTAACAATATTTGAGGTATTTTCGAAGCAGATGTGTACCAAACAAATATGCATATTAAGTCTGTAGTAAATAATTTGTAGGCCAGTACATCTCTGCAGCGCCGTAATTCTTAATTAAATATTATATTTAACACATATTCAGTCTTTAAAGGAGAAAGGTCCACTCAAATCCTCTCTCTGCGTTGGTTTACAGTGACGGTTCGTACCCCTATGACCCCTCCGGCTGGCAGCAGCCCAACAATCAGCCGACAGGATCCCTCTCCGTGGTAACCACAGTCTGGGGAGTGACCAATCCCTCAGCCAGCCAGGTATCATCAAAAGACAAAATTGGAATAATGACTTATAATTTCCACAGATGTAAATTAATCAAAAAAGGTTAATTATGGAAGAAGACATATCGGATTAAACATTTCTGTTTTTCTTTGTCTGCCAGGGCATGGGAGGAGGAGTAATGGGGCCCGGGGGCAACCCAGGCGGGGGTCCCATGATGCAGGGCCCTGGGGGTCCGGGCATGGGCGGTGGACCAGGAGGCTACATGGGTCAGCAGGGCTATGGAGAGCCCAGCAAAGGCTACATGAACCAGGGCATGTACGGCCGGAACACTGGCGGCTACGCTGGAGGACCGGGGGGGTATGCAGGGAGGTGGGTTTCTCTCAACAGAATTAATTAAATATGGAGAATAACCTTTCCGAAATATATATTTCACAGTTATTTCAAATGTCGCTGTCAGTTTTCAGTTCTCTATAATGTTAAAAATGAAAGTGTTCTTTAATGTCTTGTTTTTTGGTACTTACTCTGTGTACCGGCTCAACAATAATCTGTATATCCCCCACAGTTGGTACCATATTATATAGTTCTTAGCAAGTAGCACCCTCTTTAAGAAATAGAATAGTTAAACTCCAGTTATGATTTCAAAAAGATTCATAGCATAAATACTGACAGTATTTACATTATTTGTTTTATGTATAATTGTACATACTTTCAGTCTGAAGAAAGTAAAACAAACACTAATGTAATCATATCAAATATGAAACATGACTGACTTCTCTCGCCAGTTACCCGTCGAACCCCGGCGGCTCCAGAGGCTCGGCTGACTTCTCGCAGGCTGCTGCCGC